GGAATTTAAATATACATTTTCGGTAATTCATGGCTATTTTCCCCAGTGCACCCTGTAAGTCCCGCCATTCCCTCATCCCCCTTTGCATCCTTTGAGCCATGGCCTGTCCATCAATGGAAATATGTGCCCCCCTTTTCGCTGCGACTTCCTCGGCCCCACACTTTATTATTTCTTATTGAATAATTATGGGTCATTTGGTTGCGGCGACGTGGTGGGCGTGGCAGTGAGTGGAGGGGTCGAGGGATTGAGGGGTCGCCTGTCGCCCTCACGTGCTTATCTTGTTTCCGTTGCTTCATTTAAAAGTTAATGACTGCTTTTAATGCCCGGGAATCGGACTTGCGACTCCCGAAGCGGGTGAACTTCAGCTTCCGGTCGGTGGCCATGTCACCAGACAGGCAAATTGATTAGGTTTAAAGGCAAAAATCATGGCATACATTAGGGCACATCCCACCCGGGCGACCCACCGTTTCCCATTAAGGGCGAAAATGTTTTACAAATTGAAAGTCACGCAACAATTGACCAACCCCCAACCCCCAACCATTCTGTACCGCCGAAAAAAGAACCTAAAAAAAGCGAAAAAAGAGAAAGTAACCACATTAATGTCGGTGGTTGTCTCGCAAACGCCCGTGGCTATCAAAGGCAAATGTTATTGAATCATTAACACCTGGCCTCTCGCCTGGCTGCTGAAAAAATGATGCCATAAAGTTGATTAGAAGTCACTTAATGGCAGCGGATGTGCAGGTTTATTACAATTTGTAACGAGAGCCCCCGAAAGCTTCGGGGTTCCCTGTGGATTCCTGGGTGCTCTAGCGGTGTTCTGGAGGGGGTATTTCAGAGGTTCTGCGGTTCCCAACGCGTCCGACATTAGCACTTATAAAATATGCAGCGGTCGCGTGTCTGTTTCCAATAAATACGGAGCAACCGGCAGGAATCGGAATAGGAATCGGGAATCCTTGGACCACGAACGAAACGACCCCTTCTCGACCAGAACCTGAACACCTCCTGACCGAACTGAACCGAACCGAACCCAGCTGAACTGAACTGAACTAAACAGGACCGGGCATTCCATTCCGGCATTCCGGCCGGGACCACGGCACTTAAATAGCCGTAAAGACAGCGTCGAATGCTGTTCGAAACTCGAAACTGTCGGGTGTAAAACGATTTGGCCAAGAGCTGTGGAGTGTTGGCCTAACGGTCTATCGAGAATGAGTGTTTACGGGTATATAAAACACATGCAGTGGCTGGAAAAAAAAATGTTTAAAGAACATACCTTAAAAGAATAAGAAATCTCTAAGAAATAGAATCTAAATCTATTCTATTCTATGATAAAAGATGTATTTTTAAACAAGATTAGAATATTAAAATGATTACCATATTTATAAATAATATATTCTATTATATATTGATTGAATTATTACGGAGAAAACACTCTTAGAATAAATGCAATGAAATATTTTATTCTCTTTTTTTTTAATGTTTAGATACATTTACATATATTAAAATATCCTTTATAAACAAGATCAGAATAATAAAATTATCTATTTTAAATATTTTCCAGTAAAAGATCCTTTATAAACAAGTTTAGAATAATAAAATTACTTATTTTAAATATTTAAATAATAAAATATCCTTTATATTAAAATTACTTATTTTAAATCACATAAACTTAGTTGATTTCTGATTGATTCGTTTTACAACTTGCAATAATTTGTATAAAACCTGATGGACGATCACTGAATTAACCTCAATGCCTTTCGGGTTTTAGCTTGGTGGTTTTGCTTTAACCCTCTTTTTGGCGCCAGGAAATGTCGGTGCTTCGGCGCATTTCCTTTGTCCACACTATGTATTCGCCGGCAGAGGCATCATATTCTCCAGGCCCTCGTCCGAAATTGCGGGAGTAGAAGACGAGGACAGCTGGTGGCGTTTTTAATGTTGCCAACAATTTTTAAGTAGCACAAAAATGACGCAAGACAGCCGACGAGACGATGGTTGGGAAGTGGAGAAGGTTGAATGTGAGTTGCGAGGAGTTCGCGGTGGCAAGGTGGACGAAGTGGAATTTCAGGCTGACAGGCGCGGGAGGGCAGAAGGGCTGAAGGACCAAAGAACTAAAGAACCGAAGGACTGGAGGACTGGAGGACTGGAACGAAGGACAAGAGCTGGCGACGACGTTCTCGCTGGTCGACGCACGCTTAAGCATAAGTACTTCCGACTTTAAAAGGATGTCACATCCGGTTTCGCTTCTGGAGCGTGAAGCGCAGTCTGGCGACGCGATAAGAGCCGGGGCGCAGAGACCTAGGACCCTGGGATCCCGAGTACCAAGTACCAACTACCAAATACCAAGTACCAACCACCGAGAGCCGGGAATAAGAGAGCCGGCACAATTTAAGGTGCAACAGTTTGACAGGCTTAAGCCTTTCCTCCCCATCCTGGGGATCCCCCGTTGAAGTCCTCTTGGGCGACTAGCAGGTGGAAAAGTCGCCAAGGAGGAAATGTGGCCAAAGCTGCTTAGAAGGCACACTTGCAGCCAGTGTGACTGTGACCACGGTCCCTCACGATAAGGAGGCTATTCGAAAGCGGCTTGCTGGCTACCCGGAAAATCTTACAACTAGAAGATTAGGTGAGAAAACAGTGCGGCCTGTGGAATCTCAAAATTAGAATAGGGATCACAAAGATCGAACAGTTCTTACATTACCCTAACAATCAAATCTGGTGCTCATTTTTAATTTTAAAAAATTTGTTTTTTTTCTGTTTTTTAACTAAAAACTTGCTTTAACTTGTAAGTCACATATGTATAAACTAAAATCACACATTTAAATTTAGAAAATTTGACCCTATCGACTATCAGATATCCTCTATTCTGTTAACTGATTTAAAAATAAATATACTTTATTTCAAAACAAAAAAAACGAAAAATAGGTAAAGTATTATTAAAGATCTTTTATTTTAAAACCTTGCACAGGGTATTCAGAACAAGGCGATTTTTCCGACCCCATAAAGTTTAAGGTTAGTGATCCTGATCAAAAATATGGATACTTACTTTAAACATTTAGTTAGATGCGAACTTATATTTATACCAATATTTTAGTGAATTTTTGAGCCTTTAAATCAAGAAAAACATTTCTGTAAGAACTCAAATTCAAGGAATTCCTATCATCTTTTCATCGGCACTAAACCGAAAATGCCGAAATCTTTAAGAGATAATGTGGTTGGTGCGCGTGCATCCCGCTGATGATAATGGCTGTAACGACGATGATGATGATGTTGTAATGAGTTTTGGAACCAGCAGCCCTTGCTAGCTAAGACAATGGCCTGATGCTGACATTTATGCAGTTAGACAACAACAATGAATGCGAAATTGTTGTTAGAGGCGAGGCAAACGCGACAATGACAATAGAAATCTGCCTACCCCTTTGCCAGAGCTCCACTACCTCCCCCTTCCCATTCCCCTTCTACCTACGCCTCTGGAGGGACGGCATAAAAAAGGAACCAAGATTGATGAAGAAGCGCCACAGCAAAAACAATAAAATGTATCCAAGGGAGAGGCAGAAAAAAAGGGGGAAAAGGAAAGGAGACCGTTAGTATCTGTATCTATGACAATCTGTGGCAACAATAAAAAAAGCGGGCTGAAAGGAAAAGAAAAACGCAGTGGAAACCACTAGGAAAACGGCGAGTGCAGAGAAGAAAAACCGGCAGCAGAACGAATTGGGATCGGCTTGGGTTTTTCCAGCCCCCTTAAAAAAGGGAAAAGGGGGATCTAGAGAGGGGGCAGCTTAAAACAATACGTTTGACAAAAGTGGAGTCAACTGCAACGGCTGCAGCCTGCACGTTGCACAATGACAGTGGGTTTGCTGTGGCTGCTGCCACCGCATAATATGTGTAAAGCCAAAAGGATTTGTTATTCGAAACCGAGCGAAAAGATAAATAAACAAAAGAAGATTCCTCTCTCCGCAAGCCACCCTAAAATGTGGGTGGTTGTATGGCTTTCGTTGGACAGACAAAGGCCCCAAGGTTTCTGCTGTAACAAAACCCAAGAAAAAATACCAGAAAATTTTTAATAAGTGCCACAATGCAGCAGCAGAAATAAAACCGAGATGGAGGAAGAAGCAGCGGGAAGATACAGATACAGATACATGTACAGATATACAGATACAGATGGAAAATGGAAAATGGAGGGAGCAATAATGAATGCCCGGACACAGAAGGACATGTGTGTGTGTGTGCCGCCATTAGAAGTCAGCCAGGGGCCAAATACCAAATACCATACACAAAACACCAAAATCCAGACAGCCACGTTGACGGGATGTCAACCAAAACGTTTGAACGTTTGAACGACATGGCCAAGCGAGAACAAATAAAAATTGTTGCATTCCCCACCGGCTGTTGTTCCTCTGTTTCTCCTCCCTTTTTGTTGCAGTGTAGCGGCCCTGAATGGGAATAATCATCGCTGTGGCAATGCGACGGCTTCCCTCGCTTCTGTCACTTCATCGAGCTCTCTCATCACCACCACTCATCGAGAAGTGGCCCTAATTGTTTTGCACAGGGGGAAGTATCGGCTAAATTGGTCAATTAAAGTCTTACTTTTCGGCCAAAGTAATCATTGGATATAAATTTTACTAGCCCTGTCACTTAGATTAGAAGACTCTGAAAATTACAGTGAAAAGTACATATATATTTTAGTGAAAAATAAGATTTGGATTTTTTGGAAAAATATTTTTTTTTTATTTGTGTTTTTTGCTATAACTTGTTAAAAAAAAAAAATATTTTCAAGTTGGAATTTTCATTTAGGGCTAGTACTCAACCCAACAAAACGTCGACCAAAACAAAAAACTTCAAATTCAACAAAATTTCTTAACGTTTTTCGTTAGCTTTCCAATACTTTTAAAAATCCCTTGCAAAAGGGAATTACTTTTAAATGAGTATATACACTTTCTTGATAAATCAACCATCAACAAAAACAGTTTATATTATATAGAACCGTGTGCATGGGAACAATAATGAAATTATAAAGAACTAGCTGCTGCTAGAAGTTTTAATTTCTTCGAAGGGGGGCCGTTGTCTCCTCCTTCTTCTTCATCGTTGGACTCCTCTGGGGTTGGGAGACTGGCTTCAGATAGGGTGTCCTTGGTGTCCTCATCCTCTTTGTCGAAGTTCTCCGGGGTTGGAGGACGGGCATCGTTAGGTTGAATGGTTTCGGGTTCAAGAGCCCCTGGTTGCTCTGACTCCAGCTCAAAAGCGGCGACTTGGTCATCCAAAGCATCCTGAATGCCAAGTGAATCGAAGGCGATCTTTTTGTAGGAGGTTCCTGGTAGGTCTAACTCGGTTGGGCTCTTCCTCCCGGAATCAGATGGGTGGCTATCCTCGTCTGGATTGCCAGGTTCTTCTACTTCATTGTATTCGTTCTGCAAGTTAGGATTCTGTCCAATAACTTCCTCAATCTCTGCGGACGACATAGCTGTGAAAATATATTGTTAGTTTTACCAGTAGATTTTTTAGCCATTTTAGCGCGAGGTGCTCAGAGTTTACCTGAAAAAGTTAGTTGCTTTCTTCTATGCAGTAAAATGCTGATCTGAATGACAAACTGAAATTCAATGAACTGAATTTATGTTGGGCTGAGCTCCACAAACTGACATTTGGATTTGACTGAAAATGCAAAGCAATTCAAAATTATGATCATGATTTTTATTTATAAAAATAATTACATTTTTCATGTATATTCTTTGCTGTAACTTGGATGGTCCATAATCATAATCCATGATGAGCAGATGACAACCTAGTTAATAATATCAGTGCACTTTTCGGCTAATTTAAAAAATAAAATTTTTGAACCAATTTTTGAAGTTTTAATATGGGTAACCCCATCATAGTTTTTTGCAAAAAATGGCAAAAATTTAAAAAAAATCCAGATTTAAATAGAAAATTGAATAGATTGGAGATTTTATTACGAGGTATTGCATTCCATATTCGGATTACTATTTCCGTTTTTAGGACCAAATCACTATTTTTTGAAGGGAAATCAGGATTTTGATTTTTGGTACAAATTTGACATTTTTCTTGATCGATTTTTTGCTGTAACTTGGGCGAAAATAGTGATTTAAAAAAATAAATATTGGACCCAATTTTCACATTTTTGATAAGGGGTTACATAATAATTTTTTGCAAAAATTTCAAAAATTAAAAATTTTCAGGTTGACATGCAAATCAAAAAATGGCAATTATTTTCTTTGTTTCGGAAAAAATACCGATTGGTTTTAATGGAAAATTAATTAATTTATAAATTTTAATGGAAAATTAAGACTAATCACTTATAAAACACCGGAAAGTGTGACTGCTTTGCACAGCTTTCAACATTTTATTTTGTTGATTTCGCCTGAAGAGATCTGGCATTGTTTGCCAACGTATCTGTATCTGCTTATCAGAGAACTGATAGTTGGCGTTGGCTGTTGCATCACTGTTGTTTGTGATCTGTGGGGGGCGCAGTCACGTAGTCACCGTTTGGCTTTATTTCCACTGCAGAGTTTGGCATTCGACATAAAACATATTTAGGCTCGCCGCATGCCGAAACACAAAAAAAGGATACAAAACTGGGACGACTTGGGCTCATCCGCCCCGTTCGACCTGCAATGCAATGCAATGCAAAAAAAAGCAGAGAAATGCACAAAAGGCGACTGCAAATGTAAATAACAATAAAAAAAGAGAATACAAAAAAAGTTGACTAAGAAAAAACTGGTGATTCAGGGGGCACGCGGCTAACGGCAAACGGAATTGCAAAATGCAAACAAATAGTCCGCAATTTTAATAACTCACATTTTGCGGCAGCGTTTGGCGGTATTTTCGGAATTAAAAGGGAAGTCCAGTGGGTCGATGGACGGAAGGATGGAGGGATGCAAGGATGCAAGGAGCGGGTTATCCTGGACACAGGGGGTTGTTTGCACCCCCGAATGGACGGTTGCTGGGTTGGTCAATTGTTGTCATTGTTGGTGTTGCGGTTTTTATTTTCGCCCCAGCTTGGGTAACTTGTTGGCCGATTTTCACTTTCCACATTCCATTTTCACAGCTCCCCAAAAAGCCGCCACAATGCGATAGAGTTGGCTATGATGACGATGATGAGGCATAAGTGCTGTCAACAGGCCGCAGACGGATTTAATGATTCATCCAACTCGACCTGAAAAATGTAAGTGAACAGTTTTCAGTCTGACTTTATTTTTCATGTACTTTTCACAGCCCATAAATTGCTGCAGACAGACTTCTTGGCGTTAGGGTATTGAAATCAATAAAAATAATTACTTTTGTTTAAATAAAAATATTACAAATAATTATTAAAATATTTTACTCTTTTATCCGAAAGGAAATACCAGAAAGTGTAGACACATTTTTCTACTCGTTTAACTTTTGAAACAAATAAATAACCATTAATTTGAAAAATTATGAAAATATTTTGAAAATTAAATTAAAACCAACTGATTTAATCCGATCCTGCTGGGTCGTGTACAATGTACATATACCATTTTGGAGGCCCATCGAACCATTGCAATTCGAGTTTGATGGAATGCACGACAAATATGAATAATGAACGGAATTTTCCGCGGGTTTCGCTCCCGTTTTCCCGCTTTTCCTTTGGCCAGTGCTTACATTATTTATGTGAATAATTAAGGGGGTTTTTTGCATTTTTTTTTAAATTAATAACACCTGAAATTATTCCGATTCGGGTGCAATGCGCGTGATTAATGCAAGAAGGACACACACAGGACACCGCCACCGCCGTACATATGTTAACCGTTTGTTTGCAGAGAGATTTCCAATTTTTCACTCTGTTTGTTTGTTAATTTTGTAAAATTATACAATTTAATTGCACACACGAGCCGCAAACAGGAGCATCATCGGCCATTGGGCCAAAAAGTTTACCTTTTGCGGTTTTTCACGCGACGTTGGATGTGTGTAGTTCGCTGTGTTGTTGTTGCATTTTGTGTGCTGTGTTGCATGTGCAACAATATTCGCATTAATTGTGCGACTCTAATGATGCGCGGTCTCCCCGCGCTTTAAATTTAATTAATGCGCAATTTTCACTTTTAGTCCAGTTGGCATTTTGTTTTCGGTTAGCTTCTGACCATCGAATCGGATGTGCCCCGCCCCCTCCCTTAATCCAGCCCCGCCCCTTTTCCGTTTACTGTTAGCCAGGCTGATGAATTACGTTTAATTAGCTGTTCGAAATTTCTCAGCCCCAATTTGAGCGTGCTTTCCTCAAATTAAATAACTCGTTTTGCGAGTTGCAAACTGAGAAAATACAGTGTTCTACACTGATAAAAAAAACCATAGTAAATGGAAAGGTTTTTATAAAGAAAGAATAAATATAGAAATATTTAATTGTGCAATTATATTTTTTAAAAAAGATTTTAGTTTTAAAGGTTTTGTTTACGAGATTTCTTAAGTTGATTATAATGTGTGTGGAAAGGTTAACGGTTGATCTATTACTATTCAAAGGAGTTTTAAAGACAGAAATTGGTTTATCGCAAGTCGAGATGGAAAATAAAAGTGATGTGAAAACCTGACAAAAAAGTGCTATACATATATGAAAAAATTAATGGTTCAGAAAACCAAACTTTCATCTCTTTAGTTAATTGTTGAAAATTTGACTTTTATTTATGAATATCAATAAACATACATACATGTTGATTTCAAATCACTTTTTAATTCAGGCACAGCTTTACTAGGCTTTTCTAGTCACATAAGAGCTTTTCATTCGCATTTAGCAAAATGCAATTATCTACACTTCCCGCTCCCTAAAAACAAAAACAACAATCGCTCCGACGCTTCTACCCCCAAACCCCCGAATTTCCACCCCCCATTTCGCACTATATTCGTTGTCATCATCAAAACTCATCCTCGCCCGGCCAATAATTTAAATGTTTTTCGGCTGGAGGCACTGCCATGCGGTCCAGAGGCCAACATCAATTTAAAATCATTTAATAAATTCGCACTAAATTTCAATTCCGTTTTCATTAAATGCCACATAAATTATACGCACTGTGATGGCCTCGGGGAGTGGGGAAATGGGGTAATGGGGGGGTTGGAAAACCCCACTGAAAACAAGGGAATGGTTCTGGATTGTCAGCTGGGGCCGCCAAATCGCGTGTTACCATATTTCGCATTCGTTTTAAATGCCGCGCGCCATTTGCGCATAAAATGCTTTTAATTTTTCGTTACATTTGTCGTCTGTTGCTGTTGTTGTCGCTCCTCTCAGACAACAGCCTCCGCCTTTTGCCACCACCCCCAGCACCTTTCATCCCCCCTTTGATGCTTTATACCCACTTGGCCACATTTTCAATTCGACCTCAATAAAATTTACGCCCAAAGGCTGCCGACGAACGATGGCCCTGGGTCGGGGGGTCGGTGGCAAGGGGGGGTGGTTTTGGGTGGCAGAGGTCACAGGCGAAGATAACCGACAACGAGGAGGCAGGTTGGGGGGGGGGGCGGTGCGTTACGGCCACCGAATACCCTGCACCAAAAGTGGATCGCTACATTTTAAAACTAGATTTTTGGGTACCTTGTTCTTAAATTTTTTTTAAACATTTTAACTTAATTTCATCTTTCTGTTATAAACATCCAAAAACAACTTTGGTATTTTGGTGAATATTTTAAAATATAGAATTTCTCTTGTTATTATTTTAAATAATTAACCTGAAATATTATTTTTAAAAGTGCAAAGTAAAACGAAATAAGTCCACAAATATTTTGAATACCTCTTTTGAATATTTTTAATTCTGAATTAAATATTAATTTATGGTGTTCATTACATTTCTATAAATAAATAATTTTTAAAGGGGCTTCCACAATTCGTGGCTGTGAGCTACAGTTAAAATATAGCCATTCGCCCAATGTTGTTGCTTTCGTGAGTTGCTTTTGTTGTTGTTTATAGTAACTCCATAGCGCCCCATTGGCCAAAAAGTGTTCATTTCCTTTTTGGCGTGTTATCATCGCCACTTCCGGCAACGTGGAGAAGGGAAGGAGAAGTGCGACAAGGACGACAAGGACGAGAACTTGGTAGGCGAACGACATTGAATATCGCCGGGTAATATATGTATATGCGGTCGTATTTTGTGTACGTTTGTTACTGTCTGTGGCTGCTGCATCAGAGCCCCAAAAACGTAAGTCTTTAAAGGGGGCCTTTAAGCCATTTCCCTTGCCCCCCGACGACCTTGGACCTTGGACCTGCACTGGGCGGCAGAGGCAGTAAAGTAAAATAGAAAATAAAAAGCAGAGTAAAAGTTCAACCTCCGTTCCAGACGAATGCAAACACAATTTGAATGCTGCCGCTGCCATCAAATCGACCAGAAAAGCGTCCACCGCCGGCCGCCGCTTTTCCGAAGCGGAAAAAGTGCACAGAGCTTTTCACTTAATCGCTTTTCGTTGCGTTTGAAGGAAAACAAACAGAGCTAATTTGACTTTATCTTCTTGGCGTCAAGTTTCGTTTTTTTTTTATCTTTTCTTCCACAGCTCTATATTTTATTTGCCCAAGCCAATTTTTCGCCTGAACTTTAGTTAGTTTTCCCTGCCTAACCCAACATATTTCTGGGAATTGATAACCTTATAAAAGCCCATGAAAAATGGTTTAAAAAAAATTTTTAAATAGATTTATTCTGATTACTAAAAACTACAGAGACAAAAAACACGCCAGAATCAAATCGATATGCGCATGGTAAATTGTTGTCATATCGTTTTTACCATGCAATACCGATTTTTCTCTCTCGTAGATTCTCTGGGAGAGAGAGAGAGAGAGAGCGAGAATAATTAGTTCACTCATCTTTAATTCTAGAACACGTTGCTTACATTTCGAGATTATCAAGCTAAAATTGATACCACATAACATCAAATCGATCTTCATACACCAAACAGTATAAAAGTTTATGTTTTGATTTACCAGCTCCACAATTAAATTTTGCAAATATTTATCATTTTTTCAACATTTATTAGTTTACAAAATATTCAGGTGTTTTTAAAAACATTTAGATTTAAAAAAAAATGGTTTAACCTAACATTCTTAGCTATTTAATTTTACAAATATTTATAATTTTTTCAACATCTATTAGTTCACAAAATATTCAGGTGTTTTTAAGAACATTTAGATTAAAAAAAAAATTGTTTAACCTAATATTCTTAGCTATTTAATTAACCCTTCTTAAAAAAAGAGTGTTCACCTTCAACTTATTCAATTACTTATGTCCTCAGGAGTCAAAAAGTCACAAATCTTAAAATTTCTTTCAGAAATCCTACAAACTGTTGAGAAAAACGTTGACATAGAAGAACAGCAGCTCCATGAGGAAAATGCCGGTGGCCGCCGCGATGGCTGCTCCACAGATGCGCCACACGAGCTGCAGATCGGCGACATTCAGGGGCTCCAGGGTCACCAGTTCGCTGTAGTCCTTGATGCTCATCTTTCCCGCCTTCACCATATCGTAGAAGCTCTTTCGCACCCAGTGCTTTAAAAGTCCCGCCCGATCGGCGGCGAGCGAGAAGTCCTTCAGTGCCTCCCAGTAAATCGAATCGGGGGCCACGACAATGCTGGTGGGCATGAAGTCGATGAAGCACAGGTCCTTCGCCCAACGGAAAACCGGCTTGGCGAAGTGTCGCTGCTGGGTGTTTATCACCAGCCACTTGATGTAGGCCATGGTGTAGCCCCAGGTGGTGTTGAAGTGATTCCGCAGATCGTACAGCTCGTCGGGATCGTCGATCAGGTAGAAAATGCCCGCATATCGGGCCCTGAAGGCCCCATCAAAGTCGTAGAACTCGCTGCGCATGCCCAGGATCCTCTGGTCCCCCCTCAGCAGATCCTCGAAGCTGGTGATCCTCTCCTGGTAAGGCGGTGAGATCAGCAGCGACAGCAGCTGCGAACTGCTGGTGGTCAGCAGGAGCAGGGCCAGCAATCTCGGCACAATCCTGGCCATTCTCGAGTTTCTCAAGAGCAGCAGGCAGTTCAGGTGACCGAAAGCCAGCCAGGTGATCAGGATGACGAGCAGCAGGATCACAGCCAAAGCAGGACACAAGATCCTGTTGAAAAGATCAGGCGTTTTCAGTGGTCGCTCCACCGGCAACATGGTGCACCAGCTGGAGATCAAAATCGGATAGGTGTACTGGTGCATGGCCCACAAATTGCGGCGCGTAATTAAAGTGGTTGTCAGGCCGACGTCTATGAGACCCTGAGCGGTGTACTGCAGCATGTAAGAGCTCTCGGGGGCGACACCGGCCCGAAATTTGGGACGAACCATTCTCAGGGTGGCATTCAAGCGGCCTGCAAAGGTGTCCATAAAGTCCCACAGATAGCCGGCCACTTGGTTCTCATCCCTCTCATCGCGATAGAAAAAGGTATTCGGTGGCGATAGATCCGGCATAACGCGCAGCCGATGTCCTCGCAGGTCCACCAGTTTATTTTCAAAGATTTCCACCTTATTTCCACTTGAGATGTTTCTCTTGACCAACTCAAAGTTGGGAAATGGGTGATAGCTGTAGAGGTTCCAGGGGGAGTGATTGGTGTTCCGGAAATACAGCTCCACCTGCAGGATGCTCCGGCGCAGGCAAAAGGAGAGCAACCGACTGGCCAGGGATTCCTCATCGAAGGCCGCCACTTCGATGAGCAAACGCACCGAGGTTCGCAGGTGATTTAGACTGGTGGCTAGGTTTTCCAGCTGACTTATGGAGCTGGAATCCTCTGACAAGCAGGCCAGAACCAGGAGGCCACCGCCGTTGATGCGATCATAGAGTTCCGGCTGGGGATAGCTGAGCTGCCAGACGATCTGCGGATGGGCGGTGAGGTGGCGCCGCCACAGGACACTCCAGCTGCAGTCCAAGGAGGCGGGATTGTAGTAGACCAAGGTGGCTTCGGTGGAGAGAAGAAACTGGGCCACCAGGCCGTATAGGTCCAGCAGCTCGGCTGCAAGGCTCCGCTCCAAGTTGGCCAACATGTCCGCAGCTAACAAAATCACCGACTGACGGGAAAGTAAAGTCCTTAGTCCTTAGTCCTTAGTCCAGCCATCGATAGCCATCTCGTCTAATTGCCCGGGGACAAGTGCATCGGAGCAATTGCTGAGTTTGCACAACGACTCCCAGGTATTTGCCCTGGAGCCCAGAAAATATGGAACAGAAAACACTTTAAACTTTTTCCGATTACTAAAAACTAAGCAGAAAAAGAATGAATAGGAAGTTTAATCAATATACTGGATTTTGTGTAAAAGAATAGCTATTTAATTAATACTAAATATTATAAAGTTTGGATTTTTGTTTTTGGCGAAAGACCATGGTAAGATTGCAATATCATTGTTTAAATACTATAAAGATTAAATAAATATAAAATATTATTATTGTTTACAAAAGTGCATAAAGTTAATACCAAGTGATTCTTACACACAAGTTTTAAATTAATAACTTGGAAAATTGTATTTTTAAAATTGATAATTTAATACGCATTTTGATTCTTAATAGCATCACTGATAAAAAAAAACGTAGTAAGTCCAAAGATTTTATGTTCAATTTAAAAATTTTGTGGTACGCTTTTCATCCTTAAATTTTAATTCAATTTAAAATATTTTAGGCTTTGATTTACATTTAAAGTAAGTATAATTAAGAACGAATCTAATATACTCAACCTTAATTAAAATATTTTTAAATTATATCATGCAATCTATATGTTTTATATTAAATATTATGATTTTGTATTTAATTCAAATATGCACACGAATTTTTGCATTTAAAATATTAGCAAATATTTACTTCCAATTAAATGCAATAGTCGCATTTTTTATCAGTGATTAAACTATTTTTAATATAAACCTTCTATTTAATCAAACCTTATATTAACCTTCTATTTAATACATTAACTCAATAAAAGCATACTTTAATTAAAAACCTTATTTTTATACCCGTTACTCGTAGAGTAAAAGGGTATACTAGATTCGTGCAAAAGTATGTAACAGCTAGAAGGAAGCGTTTCCGACCCCATAAAGTATATATATTCTTGATCAGGGTCACTAGCCGAGTCGATCTAGCCATGTCCGTCTGTCCGTCTGTCTGTCTGTCTGTCTGTCTGTCTGTCTGTCTGTCTGTCCGTCTGTCCGTCTGTATGAACGCTGAGATCTCAGAAACTACAAAAGCTAGAAGGTTGAGATTTTCCACACATATTCTTTGGCTTCCTACGCAGCGCAAGTTTATTTTAGCCGAGCGCCACGCCCCCTCTAACGCCCACAATCGCCCACTAACGATTTTAAAATGGGTCCTGCGCCCACATCTTTAAAGATTTCCGAGAAGTATAAATGCAATTTTGTTGTGTATATTTATACCTATCGAAATGTGGAAGACATTTTTCAAATCGGACCATTCATTAAAAAGTTATACGCAATCAAAAATTATATATCTATCTCCCTCGCACTCCCTTTAGCTGAGTTACGATTATTAGTCGGGACACCAACCCGACACAGCGTTCGCACTCCCTTTAGCTGAGTGACGGGTATTAGATAGTCGGGACAACAACCCGACTATAGCGTTCTCTCTTGTTTTAAATTAAAGTTGCGTAAAGTCCATAAATAAAATCAGCGATTTCCGCCCTCTTTTTGTTTCCTTTTGTCTAACTCGGTTACTTTGGCCGAAGTGGACCACTCACCTGTGTCACCTTTTTGGAGTGAACGAACAGAAAAGGGGGAAAAAAAAACAAAGCCCCCCGGAAAGGCCCGCCAAAAACAGTCAGAAACAACCAAGAATATGCGAGAGGCGCCCACGCAAGTATTTCCAGGCGAAATGTTTTGCGCATTTTGTCGCCGCGTTTTTCAAATACACTTGCGACATTTGACAGCTCCAACTGTCAGTGCAATGTGCTCGGTGTGTCGCTGTGTGGGTGTGCGGGTGTATCTGTACACGGATGTATCCGTGTGTTGCATGTTGATTTTGCCGAGTTGTTTTATGCACAGCCCCCACCCCCTTCCCCTCCTCTCCTCTCCTCACCACCCGTTAACCCTTCAGCTGCCATTGGCATTCATTCACGTGGCATCGCCATCGCCATCGCATCGCCATCGTCAACTCGACCCTGACGCTGGCTGCAATTCTAAATAAATTTGCATTTTTGTCAATTTTGATGGCGACCACATGCACACCCACACATCCACACACACACACAGATGCGGGGCGGTGTTAAGGGTGTTAGGGCTGCACCAACACACACATGACCACGCATGAATGCCTGCAAAGTATGCAAAGTTTATTCATGGACGAGTGTATTGCGGCCACACCAACTGGCCAGGGATGCCCAAAAAACCCAGAAACCAGAGCCAAATGATCAGCCAGGAATCCTGACTTCCGAAGCCATCGATCAAATTGGGGTTTATATGTATATGCAAGCTAAAAGATAGTTCAAACTTATTAAAGTAAATAAATATAATTATTTAATTAATTATTTAATAATTCTTTATTTATTCATTTATTTGTATTAGCAAAATGTATACAATTAATATCTAACAAGAAAATATTAATTTATATTTCCTATTTTTATTTGGTAATTGTAATTAATAATTTAATTTAAACTTAATTATATTTAATTCGTATAAAAATTCTAAAATTAATGTTTAATGTTGCGTAAGGAAATAAGCAAAAAATTATTAATTTTTACTCTCTTTCAACGTTTGAAGATACTTGAATATTCTTTTACCTTTAAAAACAGAAACCTAGGAATTTTCCATATATCAAAAAATATCAATTAAATATTGTCTCCCCAAAGAAAGATTGCCATATTACCTGGAGGGTATTAAGGTTATCTAACCAATCCTATTTTCCCCAACCCAAATACCACCCTACAACCTACAACCCACAACCCTTTCCCCTTTGGAAACCCAAAAACAACGCAGCTTTTTGGTCAGTTGCAGCTGGGCTGCCAGGAATGAAAATGGCCATGGAAATAGAAATAGAAATGGGAATGGGAATGGCAATGGACTATGGACTATGGTCCATGGCATAGTCAGGTCCTTGATCGTCCTGGGGATCGGGGGGTGGGTTCTCTGGGTGGTGAGCTAAATTTGTTGTTGAAATAGTCACAAAGTTGCTGACTGCGTTTCTGGTCATCACTTTGTCGTCATTCTTGTGGTAAGCCCACTGTTGTTGTCGCTTCAATTGTTGTTGTAGTTCGTTGTTGTTGTTGTAGTTTGTTGTTGTTGCCAGCCTAAACACTATTATCGCAGCTTTTCCTCTGTGAATGTTGGTTTGGTGTGCTTGTGTGTTGGTGAAGGTGTTTGTTGGTGGTACCAAAAATTAATTTGCATAATGGACAGACAAACTCACACACACACACACACACAACATTAGCGCAGCTTTGGGGGCGTTGTGGGTGGTCAGGAGGTGGGCGGGAGTCGGGAGGCGTGGCAGGAGGAGCAACAACATTGCTGGCATATTTCCACGTCGAGGACAAAGAAGAAAGGAAATTCGTTAAATCTGAAATAAAATCAAAAAACAATGCAACTCACACACACACACACACATATTTGCGGACATGTCCTTTTGACGCCATTTATTAACTGCGAATGCCGAACAATGTTTGCATTTTGCATTTTTGATTGCGCCTGTCCAGCTGTTCTACAAACGCCCCTCGTCCTTTTTCCCCACACGTCCTGCAAATCACATTCAGCAGCGCAATTAATGAAAAATGGTTTCGTATTTGTTTAATTCGTGATAAATTATTTAATGTCTCCCCGGCTGGATTACCATATGGATATTTGGATATATTTTTGTTTGGTTTAAGTCTATTATTGATGCGCTTTGCAAATCATTGAAAAATACATAATACAATTAATTAAATTAAATGGATTTTATTAATTGCGATTGCCAAATTAATTTAATAATATCCTCTTTCTGTGCGCAAAGCAAACGTGTTTAATACGGCGTTGTTCGTTTAACTCGTCTTTAATTTAAATCTAAAATATAAGTTTAAAATTCGTAAATATTTATTTAGCTATTTAAGCATGTTCTTTGCTTAATTAACATGGAAAATATCCTCAAAATTGCTTGAAATAATATAAAATTATATAAATTTTAAAACAATTACATTTACATTTTTCGTGCAAGAAACAGATTAAATTCCACATTCAAGTTCCTGAAAGCTTCCTGTCCATTTTAGGGCGCCATATCTTATTCTGCCCCACTGTGCGCCGCATCCTGGATTTTTGCTCGTCCTTTGGTCATGGCCTCGGCTGGCGGAAGTCCTAAGAATCTATGTTGCAGCTACTTAAACTTAGTTGGCCAACAGTTTGCAGTGCTTTTCTTTCGCTTTTCCTTTTTGGGAAAACGCGGCCAGAAACTTTGCGCAGAACGGCGGAATGCAATGACAATGTGATGAGAGCCGGGGAGGAAAAGCGCGAAAAATAAAGGAGGGGGCGGGTCCTTTGGTGCTGGAATGAAAAGTGCCACATAAGCATAACAATAAAATCCAATAGAAGTGACTAGAAGGACGATAATGCGACGGTTCTGGCCCAAAAAAGGCCAAAAATCCCAACAAACGGAAACGATTTTCGCTTTAAAAAAGAATGTTGGAAAAATGTAAGGAAAATCTCGTCGCGTCTCGCAGTTTCGGGATTACGCAGCAAAAGTTCGGTGGGTTCGGAATGTCGCACTTTTAATCACAGACAGCTACAAATTGTTGTAGCTTTCGTTGGGTTTTGTCTCGGTTGCGTTGTTAAATGTCATGTTAATTCCCTCGTAATACGCGTGTTCATTATGTTAAACACTTAACATGTATGTGTGTGTGTGTTTTGTCACTGTATGCGTGTGAGTGGGAAGGATTCGTGTGCATGTGTGTTTGCATTATGGTTGTTATACAAGAGAGTTGTTGTCAGCTTCGTCATCGCCTGCCCCCTGAACAATAAATGAAAGTGTAACACACTAATTAGTCCTGTATGCGATTCATAATGATAACAGTAATTAACATGTGTGC